TGTTTTTCTCTTACCGTAAAGTATAGGTCTAGGGTGAACCGGTAAAGGCATAGGGACAATATCTAACTTATAGGACTGCTGTTTAAGAATCTAAAGGAAAAAGTGCATATAAAGAGCTTAATGTAATTTATGCTCAATAGATATGAACAATTATGGTCTTTATAATTGGAAGACACCAATTTGCTTCCCCCAGTCATCCATCTCACTTGTTTTGGCCAGTTCTCCACCCCAAACACCCACCACCCACTAGTATTTTTAGTGACAAAAATACCACACCGTGGCCCATTTCTCAACAGCTAGGCTTTTATTGCACATAACTTTCAGACCTTTGCCTGGGATTCACACTGAAGAAAACCATTTTCCACTCACCAAACACTACCCTTGCTATTTGTGATTTACTCTGATATTTTCTACCCTTTCTATGCCAGTCTATTTATTTCATTAAAACAGAAATCCTTGTAATTACCCATTAAATTGGTTTCACAGCTTTTAATAGGTCTGTCATTATAGTTTGAAAAACACTAGAGGAAACCTGAGCAAGATAAACATTGGCATTCTGAAAACTTGCAGGCTGGGTGAGGACCATGTGGCTGGCTCTCTAGCCCACAAGAGCCACTGCCTCATCTGGGCAACTCCTCCCACATTACCATTGAAAACAAGTGTTTCTATACACCTAGTTCCAGATTTGGCCTAAATCTGGAATGCTGATAACGTCAGATGCTGGTAAGGATGGGTAGCAGTGGGTAATCTCATTCACTGCTGGTGGGAATTCAAAATGGTACAGCTACTTTGGGGGACAGATTGGTAGTTTCTTTCAAAATTAAACATATTCTCACCATATGATCATGGCAGTCATGCTCCTTGGTATTTACCCAAAGGATCTGAAAACTTATGTTTACACAAAACCCTGCATATGGATGGTAATAGCAGCTTTATAATTGTCAAAACTTGGAAGCAATCAAGACGTTCTTCAAGCAGGTGAATGGATAAACAAACCAGTACATCCAGACAATGGAATAGTATTCAGCACTGAGAAGTCAAGCCATGAAAAGACATGGAGGAAACTTAAGTATATATTACTAAGTGAAAAAAGCCAATTTGAAAAGGTTACTATATGATGCCAACTATGTGGCAAAGGCCAGTTTTGAAAGGTTACTGTGTGATTCCAACTATGTGGCATTCTGGAAAAGGCAAACCTGTGGAGCTAGAAAGATCAGTGGTTAGCAAGCACTGGGACTGTGGAGAGGGTGTGGGGGATAAAGGGGCACAAAAATTCTCGATCATAATATAAACTGATCATGGGGATAGTAGTACAGCATGGAGAATATAGTCAATGATTCATATGTTACAGACAGTAAGCACGCTAATGGGGTGAGGATTTCATAATGTGGGTAATGGTTGAACCACTGTGTCCTATACTTCAAACCAATATAAGATTGTCTATCAATGATACTGCAATAAAAAAAAAGTAACCGTACAATGACCCCTAAGTGTTCAAGTGAAAGAATGAGCCCCGTGTCTCTTCCTCTAAATCAAAAACTAGAAACTACTAGCTTAGTGAGGAAGGCTTGTCAAAAAGCTGAGATAGGAACGCTAGGCCTCTTGCACCAAGCAGCCAAGTTGTGAATACAAATAAAAAGTTCTTGAAGGAAATTTAAAGTGCTACTTCAGTGAACACACAAATTATAAGAAAATGAAACAGCCTAATTGCTGGTATGGAGAAAGTTTAAGTGGTTTGGATAGAAGATCAAACTAGCCACAATATTCCCCTAAACCAAATCCAATCCAGAGCAAGGCCCTAACTCTCTGTTCACTTCTTTGAAGGCTCAGAGAGGCCAAAGCTGCAGACGAAGAGTTTGAAGCTCACAGATTGGTTCACAAGGTGGAAGGAAAGAAGCTGTCTCCGTAAGTTAAAAGTACAGGTGAGGAGCAAGTGCTCACTTAGAAGATGCAGCAAATCAATCTAGAAAACGTAGCTAAGATAATAATGAAGGTGGCTACACTGAACAGCAGGTTTTCAGTGTAAATGAAGCAGCCTTGCAGAGGATGCCGTCTAGGACTCATAGCCAGAGAGAAGTCAAAGTGTGGCTTCAAGGCTTCAAAGGCGGGCTGACTATTGTGTTAGGGCTCATGTGGCTGGTGACCTCAGGTTGAAGCCGGTGCTCATTTACCTTCGTAAAAACCCTAGAGCCCTGAATTATGCTAAATTCATTCTGCCTGTGCTCTGTAAGTGGCACAACAAAACCTGGATAACAGCACATCTGTGTACAGCATGGTTTACTTAATATTCTAAGTCCACTACTGAGACCTACTGCTCAGAAAAAAAAAGATTCCTTTCAAAATATTACCCTTTATTGACAATGCACCTGGTCAACCAAGAGCTTTGATAAAGATATAGAAAGACATTAATGTTGTTTTCATGCCTGCTGACATAATATCCATTCTGCAGCCCATGGATCCAGGAGGAATTTTGACTTTCAAATCTTACTATTTAAGAAATAAATTTTGTGAGGCTGTAGCTGCTATAGGCAGTGATTCTGCTGATGGATCTGGGCAAAATAATTGAAACTTTCTGGAAAGGATTCACCATTCTGGATGCCATTCAGAACACTTGCAATTCTCGGGAACAGGTGACAAAAATCAACATTAACAGTTCGGAGGAAGTGGATTCCAAGCCTTATGGATGACTGAGAGGCCTAAGACTTCAGTGGAGGAAGTGACTGTTGATATGGTGGGGGAAAAAAAAACATGTGAAAACAGCTCGAGTTAGAAGTGGAGTCTGAAGATGTGACTGAATTGCTGCTTCTCAGGATAAACCACGAGTGGAATGCAGAGTTGCTTCTAAGTGATAAGCAAAGAAAGTGCCTTCTTGAGATGAAATCTACTCCTGGTGAAAATGCTGTGAAGATTGTTGAAATGACAGCAAAAGAATTACTATATAAACTTAGTGGATGAAGTGTCGGCAGGGTTTGAGAGGACTGACTCCAATTGTAAAAGAGGTTCTAGTGTGGGTAAAATGTTATCAAACCGCCTTGCATGCTACAGAGAGACTTTTTAAGAAAGGAAGAGTCAGGCAAGCCTCAAACTTCCTTAACTGTGTTGTTTTATGAAATGGCCACAGCCACTCCAACCTTCAGCAACCACCACCGTGATCTGTCAGCAGCCATCCTCATGCAGGCAGGACCCTCCACCAGCATAAAGATTATGCGGGCTGCAAGCTCATGATGGTCCGCATTTTTCTTTTCTTAGTCATATGCCATTGCACGCACAATAGATTTCTGTATGTGTAAACATAACTTTTTTTTTTTTTGAGAGGGCATCTCATATTTATTGATCAAATGGTTGTTAACAACAATAAAATTCAGTATGGGGGGTCAATGCTCAATGTACAATCATTAATCCATCTCAAGCCTAATTCTCGTCGGTCTCCAATCTTCTGAAGCATAACGAACAAGTTCTTACATGGTGAACGAATTCTTACATAGTGAATAAATTCTTACATGGTGAACAGTACAAGGGCATTCATCACAGAAACGTTCAGTTTGGATCACGCGTTATGACCTATAAACAATCAGGTCAAATATGAATATTCGTTTGATTTTTGTACTTGATTTATATGTTGATCCCACATTTCTCCCTCTATTATTATTATTGTTTTTATTTTTAATAAAATGCTGAAGTGGTAGGTAAATGCAAGGTAAAGGTAGAAAACATAGTTTAGTGCTGTAAGAGGGCAAATGTAGATGATCAGATGATCAGGTGTGTGCCTATGGACTAAGTATTAATCCAGGCTAGACAAGGGCAGCAAGACATCCACAGATGCAGAAGATTTCTCTCAAAGCAGGGGGGGTGAGGTTCTGAGCCTCACCTCTGTTGATCCCCAAATTCTCACCTGATGGCCCCCCTGCGACTGTGCCTGTCTTAGGTTGTTCCTCCCTTGAGGAATCTTACCCGTCTCTGGCTAACCAGTCATCTTCCGGGGCCATACAGGGAAATGTAAAGTTGGTAAGTGAGAGAGAAGCCATATTGTTTGCAAAGGTTAGCTTTTTACTTCTTTGCAGATTTATGCCCTGTGGCTTCTATGCCCAGCACTTGTCTCGAGGTATCTTTACCACCTGGAGGAATTATGATACTCGGTAAATTCGATATGAGGCACGAATTCTATTTAAGGTTTGTAATTAGGAAGGAAGAAGAAAAGCTATAGATGTAGCATATGAAGGAAACTTGGGAGGATTGATTATTTCTTTGACATATCTTCTTGTATAGTACCTTAAGTATGTATAGGTTTTAAACTACTAACTAATTTGCACACACATATTAACATAATAGGAATACGGTGACATAAACAAAGCAAATCTATAATTACCATCCATCTCCAGTGAAGCCAAGAAAACCATTTAGGCACCCTAGGCATTTGTGAAAATTTATCTATGATATGATGGATATTTTCCAACTGTACTTGAAAAATCAGACAAATTAAAGCAGCCCATTTCTGGGATCTGTTCACATCCCATATGTTCTTTTAACCGTAGATAGTCTATAGTCATGAGATTTTGGAGTGCTACAACTTGCACCCCTCCCAACTCCTGGTTGAGTTCCAACAGTACAGATCCGGTCAAATTCGTTGTCTCACTGTATGCACATAAACATAACTTTTTTATTCCCCGGGAACCCAAAAAGTTCACTTGACTGGCTTTATTATGGTGGGGGTTTTGAACAGAACCCGCAGTGCCTCCCAGGTATGCCTGTAGTTGTAAAGCTGTCGGCCAGCTACCCCAAACTCTGCAGGGGAGGAGGAAATTCAATCACGCTGGTTTGGGAGAAATACTGGAGTGGCATATCAGGATTCTTGGGACCCCTCTGCCGCTCATATGGCTAAGCGCGAGGCCGGCCGTCTGGCAGGTGAACACGGCGAGCTTAGCCTGCGGAGCGCAGACCAGCTGCAGGCGGCCAGCGTGGGGGCCGGCCGCGGGGTTAAAGGGGCAGAGCTCCGGGCGCGGGCGGGGAGGAGCGTGGGGAGGGGGAGGGGCCCGGGGCTCCGGGCCCTAGCTCGAGAGGTCCCCACGCCCAGCGACTCGGGGTGCCTGCCTTTGTTCCAAGACACCGGGGTCTCTCGGATCTGGAGAGGTTCCGTGAGTGAGAGGGACTCGCGGCCGGAGGAGCGCGATGGGCGCGGGCGGAGGCGGGCGCGTCTCGGAGCCGCGGGCCCCCGGAGCGCGGGCGCGGCGCGCCGCCCGCAGCCTCCGCCCTCCCGCCCCGACCCGCCGGTTCTGTTTCCTTTCGTTCCTGCTGCTCCGCGCGCTGTCGGCGCTGCCCGCGGCTTGCGGCGCCGCCGAGGAGCGGCCCTTCCGCTGCCTGCAGGCCTCGTCCTTCCCCAACCGCAGCAGTTCGCGCACCGACGGCGCCGCCTGGCTGGGGGAGCTGCAGACCCACGCGTGGCGCCACGACTCGGACGCCATCCGCTTCCTGCGGCCCTGGTCCCGGGGCGAGTTCGGTGACCAGGAGTGGGAGCAGCTGCAGGATATGTTTCGGGTTTATCGAAGCAGCTTCACCAGGGACGTGCACGAATTGGACAAAATGTTGCGATTAGACTGTGAGCTGAGGCCTGGGGTGCGGGGCCACCACCCGACGGGAGACGCTGACGCAGAGGCGCCCGTGAGACAGGCTGACCCCGCCTGGTCACTCTCTGCTGCCTCCAGCCCCCGACCCCCTCCTCCGCCTGAGGTCTCAGCCTCTGACTCCTCAAAACACCCCTTGTTCCTCCTGCCCGGGTCACTGCCTCTCATTTCCCTAAACTCGGTCCCCAGTCTGACCTTCCCACCGACTCCTTCTTGATCCCCCCCAATCTCTAAAGCCCTTGTTTGATCCCCGTCCATTCCTCTTCTCAGATCCCTTTGAAATCCAGGTGTCTGCTGGGTGTGCGATCCTCGCAGGGAACAGCTCCGAAAGCGCCTTCCACGTGGCATTTCAAGGAAGAGAAATCCTGAGTTTCCAAGGAATGTGGGTGCCGGCGCCAGATGCCCCGCAGTGGGTGGGTGCAGCCAGCAAGGTGCTCAGCCAGGACCGCGGAACCAGCGCGACAATTCAGTGGCTCCTCAATGACACCTGCCCGCGGTTAGTCAGAGGCCTCCTCGCAGCAGGAAAGGCAGACCTGGAGACGCAAGGTGAGCCTCCCTCACCCTCTGCCCTGCATCCCGGGGCTCCGTCCAGGTTTGTCCAGGCCACGGCTCACCTCCCTTGGAGTACCAGAGGAAGAGAGAGGCTTGGGAGGGGATGCTCAAAGCATGAGGCCATTTGTTCATTCCACAGACATTAACTGAGCACCCCTGGGGTTCTGTGAATTTAATTACATAAACACCAAGGGTCAAACAGGACCTCTGCTTGAGCGGGAGGGGGAGAAGACAGATGAACAATTCCAGCAATGCTTGGAACATGCGCCTGCGGTACAGCTGAGCCCGGGTGGCACGGGAGTGCAGAGCAGGGCATTTGCAGGAGGCAGTGGCAGGAAGGCTTTCCTGGAGAAGCCAAGGCGAAGGTCTGAGGTTGTAAGAGGCTTCATCCCCACAGGCGGAGCTGTGGGACCCACGAGCCTGTGCTGAGGCTGGAGCCTCTAATGCCCTTCCCCCCTCTAAGATACCCCTTTCCCTGCTGGACGCAGTGAAGCCCGAGGCCTGGCTGTCCGGGGCTTCCAGTCCCGGGCCCGGCCGTTTGCTGCTGGCGTGCCACGTCTCCGGATTCCGCCCAAAACCGGTGTGGGCGATGTGGATGCGGGGCGAGCAGGAGCAGCTGGGCACCCAGCGAGGGGACGTTCTGCCCAATGCCGACGGGACCTGGCACCTCCGAGTAACGCTGGATGTGGCAGCCGGAAGGGCGGCGGGCCTGTCTTGCCGAGTGAGGCACAGCAGCCTCGGAGGCCAGGATGTCATCCTCTACTGGGGTGAGAAAGAACGGGGCCCAGCTGGCAGTGGGAGGGGCGGCCCTCACGCAGAGAGGAGGCGGGTGTGCACACACAGGGTAGAGGCCTTTCCAAGTCGAGGCACCTGGCCACGAGGATAGAGGAGTGGATTCCAGGTACAGGAAGGAGGGGAATAAAGATCTGATCTCAAAAAGGATTGAGATAAGATGTTCCATATACAAGAAACATGGGACAAAAAAACCCTCACATGTCCCAGAGTAGGTGGAAAATAAAGGCTCCCAGGAAGGAAGTGTGGACTTCAGAAAGGCAGGGTAGCAAAGGTGGCCCTGGCTACTGAGTGCTTCCTGTGTGCCTGAGCGCTCTGCACACAGCATGTCCGCTACTCATCACAACTGTCCTTTGAAGCAGGAACTGTCATTCCCAGTCATAGATGAGGAAATTGAGACTAAGTTGGGTCAAGGTGACTGCCCAGCATCTCATCATTAGCAAGTGGAAGAGCTGGATTTAGACTCAGGGCTGCCTGGCTACAGAGCTATTGCTCTCTGTCTCCTGTGGTATTTTCTGACGTGAGCTGAACTGCAGATGCTTGAACCCCAAGAAAGATGGGGCATCCAAACTTTGGAGGAATAAAAGTGGGTGCTTTCAGTAGGGGAGGAAATAAGAAGCACCTGGTACCCTGCCATGCGCTTATGCCAGGGGGCTGGAAGTAGTGGGACCCTGTGCTGAGAGACGCCCTGTGTCCCCCAAGGAGAGGGGAGCCGTGCCTCCGTGGGCTTGATCGCCGCGGCAGTGCTGTTTCTCCTTGTGATCCCTGGAAGCGCCATCTGGTTCAGGAGGCGCTGGTAAGTCTCCCCTGTCCGTCTCCTCCTTCCCTCAGCCTCTCTCCCCATTTCCTCTCTCCACACCCCTTCCCCCCATTTTCCTTAATGCTCTCTCCCTTTCTGTGCCCTCACAGCTCCTATCAGGACATCCTGTGACTGTCCTCACCACACGTGTCTGTCTGGGGCATAGGACCTCACGTGTCCAGGATATACACGGTGCTCAGGGATTGAGGGTGAGCGGGGAGCACCCTGAAGAAGCAGGGGACCATCATAAGCCAGCTGTTGTCACTTCCTTTTAACATCTTATCCAAGGGGATTTAAGTTCTTTTTCATTAAACTACAAGTGTCTTTGCTTAAGTGGCTCTGAAGAAACAGAAGTGTGAACTCTAATACCTACCAGGGGCAAGCAGATAAGGGCTGGGGTGTGTGGGTGGGCGTGGTCACTGAGTGGTGGAACGTCCAGGGAACTGGGAAGCCCTTGTACCCAGAGGAAGCAGGTGCTTGTGGTCAAGAATAAACTGAGACTGTGGCTGGACTCTAACTTATGGACTCTAACTTATTTTTCAAGAAGAGTGAAAGTCTGGATTTTTATGTGGACGTGTCAGATGGTAAAATGTTGACTCAAAACTTTTACAAAATATTTCTGTACCCCAGATACACCTCTGCTGGCTGACAACAGCCCAGTCTGTGTCTCCTTCATAAGAAGTTTGGCTTGAATGAGGTATTGGTGGTTTTAGGGCATGATTTTTATCGTGAATTTGGATTTATCAAGAGGGACATTTTCCCTTTCAAAGAAAGTTAGGTTGTCAAAAACACAGGTGATGCAAGTTTTCACTTTGTGTAACTTGAGTAAAACAGGAGAAATCCTAGTGTAAGTGTATTATGTAAAAGAAAGCTACTCTGGGTAGAGATATTTCTCTCAAATGGCAAGTCACTTTTTCAGGAAGAAGACAGGGTGAAGATATGCACCCACTCCACTCCACCCTAAACAAGCTCTCCTACTTAACAGCTGTTAAATGAGACAGTGTACAGAAAGGACTGACCCACGTGGGCATGCGTGAGCTGTAGTGAGATGGCCCAGCTCAGGAAAGAGCAGGAAACCTAGGGAACAGAAGACTTTCCCAATGCCAAAATATGGATGGCCAAGTTAAAAGTATCTGTGGGCTATCAGGGAAGTCGTAGTCTCTTGGCCCTCCGGGACTTGCAGAAAAAGTGAGGCCGAACTTTTGGAGAGTCTTTGCTTGAGAAAATTCAGATTTGGCATCTTCTGCTCTGGACTGGCACATCAAATCTAGGATGAAGGTCCTGCTGGTTTCTCCATCGGTGGTTCCCAAATTGTGGCTTCCCGCCCAGCAGCCTCAGCATCCCTGGGAACTTCCCAATTATTTTGGTCTCCACCCCAGACCTACTGAAGGAGAAATCTTGGGAGTGGGGCCCAGCAATCTGTGTTTTAACAAGCCCTCAGGTGATTCTGATGTTCAGGCTAAAGTTGGAGAACCACTGTTCTTAGGCATTGTGTGAGGCTATGCAACAAATCCGCCAGAATGCTAAGTGAAAAAATTGTCCTGGGGTAAGTCAGGGAAGGCTTCCTGGAGGGAGGGGATGGAGAGGAAGGGACGTGAGCCAGCAAGTGCGCCGGATAAGGATGCTCGGGTTCTAGCTGCCCACCCAATTTCCTCCCGTGTCAAAAATGGGGATGACAATGTCTGTCTTGATTATGTTACAGATTAAATGTTTGTGGCACCCTAAAATCCATATGTTGAGAACCTAAAAGCCCAAGGTGAGGTGATAGGGGGTGGGTCCTTTGGGAGTGGGTGACCCCCTCCTCCACATGAAGACACAGCAGGAAGATGCCACCTTGAACCAGAAAGGGGACCCTTACCAAACACCGAATCTGCTGGTGCCTTGATCTTAGACTTCCCAACCTACAGAACTGGGAGAAATAAACGTCTATTGTTCATTAGCCACCCTGCCTGTGGCATTTTGTCATCGCGTCCAGAGCAGACTAAGATGGTCGCACAGCCTCCTGGTGGGGAGCAAATGCGTGCAGGTGTATGGCGACCTGCGATGCCTTACAAAACGTGAGCCCTCTGCTGGGCCTGGTGCCCCACGCTGTCCTGGGTGATGCCCAGCAAGCGGTGCAGGTTCGGGAGCCCTTACCACCAGCCGTCTGTATTCTGAGGGCGTAAGTGTTCAAGTCTCTTCTGAAATTTTTGGAAGTGCTTCCGCATGAATTTACCGTAGCTCTGGTTCCTTTTTAAGCAAATTTGATCTATTTTGGAAGTAAAGACCTATCTCTCCAGGAAATTCTGTCTCCTTCCTTCAAATACTCAGTTCAAAACACTTCAGAAGATCTGAGAATTCATTTTAGAATGTGTTGATCTCTGCGAACATCGTGCTCCTTGAGTGCAGAGCCCATTCCTCCTTCATTACATGCTCAGTGATATTGGGGAGACTTCCTCTAATCCTTTCTCCTCCACACAGCACAGTGTGAAGCTCTTTTCGTAGAGGGCGCTGTAGAGGAGGGGCCTCTCCTACGGTTTCCGGCTCCTGCGTAGGGGTCAGCCGAGCGCATGCATCCTGTGGGTGCCGCCCCAGCCCTGTGCCCAGAGCTCTTGGCCCTCGGTTACCCTGCAGCCCCGGCTGGCAGTAACCTTCCCACGCTCTCTTGAGATGGACACCGGGGCTCCAAAGGCTTCCTGCCCCTCTCCGTGCTCCATCCCCTGGGCAGACTCTCACCTGGACTGTTCACAGCCCACCTGCCACCCAGAGGCTCCCACTGAGGCCTGGAGGGCTGCTTCCAGCTTGCCCGGTGACTGCAGACGGGCTCTGGCCTGGACAAACCAGCCAGCTTTTCGGCCACCCAGGGAGCTGAACCAGCTTTTCCAATGAGGTCTGTGCATCATCCTGGGGAAAGTCTGCCCTTCGGTTTATTCTTGCTTAATGTTCTCCTTCAAGCTTAGAGTTCCGTGTAGGTTCTTCTTCTATCTTATTGTCTTATATAGGTTAATAATCCTGTTAAACGCCCTCTGTTTGGCTGACTGTGTGGTTTCTGTTTCCCGACTGGACTCAGGCAGACACACGTGCCTCTTTTTGACTGTCCTCGGGGACCTGTGAACTTTGCGAATTTACTTCTGCTTGTAAGTCACAGGCATGGAGTTGATCTGATTTGCTGTGGGGTGTAGCTCGGCCTCCAAGAGCTTAGATCTGACGTTCTTCTTTGCCAAAACCATTCCCAGGAGCCGTTCCCTGCCTCCCTTTGGATGCATTGCACCTCCCCTTCACTGGGGCGTCTTGTTCAGGGGTAAACGAGAGGCATACTGCTAATCATTAAGCCCGGACAGGTGAAAACTGGGGGTGGCTCAGGCTTCCCGTTGATCATTTTCCATTTGCGCCAGGCAGTGACTCACCAGTCGGCTCTGCTGGACTCCTCCCCAGGCCTGGCCTCTGATGACAGGCCACATGTGTCTTCCCACTTCTTCCCCACCCCCAGGGTCCTTTTGATCCTCCTTTGTCTTCTGTGTTGGGTATTATCCCTCACTTTCAGCTGATTCCTGCTCTGAGAGACGGTGATGGGAAAGGCCCCTTGTTCAGCTTCCTTCACTTAACTTGTGCTGCGTCTTCCCAAGAGGCTTGTTTTCTTCTATTTGTGATTTTTACTGAACCATCCCTATGGGGCTTCTTCTACACCTTTGTCGCCCTGCTTCTCACCTTGCATAGAACCATCTTTCCCATTTCCCAGGAAATCCAGATTATCCTGTAAGGACTCCTTTGCCTTCCCTCCTTCTTGGCTCAAAGGGTGATTTCCTGCTCATGTTCCACCTGCAGAAGACAAGTGTAGCCTTGCTAAGCCTGACGCTCCCCTCCAGGGCTTCTGTGTCACAGCCTCGGGGCTCGTGCCCAGTGTCACACCTTCTGCAGTCTCCTTTCTTGTGCATCCTAGTTCACAGACAGCCCGTGAACTTTAAAACAAAAACTGTTTCCCTTTTGAGGCACAAAAAATTGTTCCTCCTCCTTCACTGAAAAACCTTTCCCACATTTGATGGGTGCATGGGGTTTCTGCTTGTTCCCCGTGCACCCTCTACTACCACCTGGTCTCTGGACCCTTGACTGGCCCTGCACTCGATTGTCCCTGTCTGTGTTCAGACCCTCCTTACCTCTCCTTAGGCTGTGCTTTCTCCAGGCCATCCTGCACAGCCTTGCTCCATCCATCTTCCTAAACCCACATCATCTCCTTCCACACCTCTGCCCCAGCTCTCCCTGGCCTGCCTGAAAGGCCAGAATCCTTAGGTGGCCACTTGCCATCATTCTGCTCCAGTGACAACCTGCCTTCCCCGCTTTATCCTGTAGATGCTCTGCTCTTTCCTATTTCCTGTTTACCTCCGTGCATGTTGCTGTCTTACCTTCTTCAAGACTCAGCTTTAATGAACGCCTCTCTGAACCAAGAAGAACTAATGTATTTCTCTCTTTGACCACAGCCTCATAAAATTTTGTCTATGTTGCTCAACACCTTTTTTAAAATATAATGAGCTTAATGGAGGTAAAATTTACATATAAGAAAATGCCCTTAGTTGAAGTGTATAGTTCAATGAATTGTAACTCATGTAACTACCTTTCCATCTTTCCAAATGACATGCAAAGTTTCTAATTCCCCCCAAATTAATCTTGTCATGTTTGTTAACAATGTCCCCAACCATAGTCTGTTTTCTGTCTCTAGTCTCTATGGATTAGTTTCACCAATTTCAGAATTTTATATAAATGGAATTCTGCTTTTTTCACTTGATATAATGTTTTTAAGATCCATCCACATGGTTGCATGTATCATAGTTCATTCCTTTCATTTTTTTGTAGTATTTTCTTGTCTGGACAGACCATAAAAGGTTAATTGTCCTTAACCTATTGATGAAAACTGGTCATTCACACTTTGGAGCTGTTAGGAATAAGACTGCTATGGTCATTCACGTGCACGTCTCATTGTGGACATACGTCTTTATTTATCTTGGGTAAATACCTAGGTGTGGAATTGCTGAGTGGAATAGTAGGGTGTTTAACTTTTTGACCCATGGGTTACTTCAAAGTGTGTTGTTTAATTTCCAAACATTTGGGGATTTTCCAAATATCTTTAAATTATTAGTTTGATTCCGTTGTCAGAAAACATATTCTATGTGATTTCAATCTTTTAAAATCAGAGACTTGTTTGAGGCCTAGTATGCAGGCTTTATCTTGGTGAATGTTCCGTGTACACTTGAGAAGAATATGTATGCTGCGTTGATGGCCTGTTTTGTACATGTCAGTTAGACTGTCGGTTGATAGTGTTCTTCAGATCTTCTATATCCTTCCCGAAGCTGTGTCTACTTGCTCTATTTTACTTACTGCGATAGGAGAGTTGAAGTCTCCGCTTCCAATTATGGATTTATTTATTTTCCTTTCGTTTCTGTCAGTTTTTGCTTTATGTGTTTTGAAGTAGGATGTAGGATCATGTTTCTTGAACTGACTCCTTTTTCATTACTAAATGCCCCTCTTTTTATTTCTGGTATTCCTTATCGTGAAGTCTACTTGGTCTGACATTAAAATATCTTCCTTTCTTATTATTAGGGTTCTTGTAGTGTATCCTGTACCATCTTCTAGTTTTAACCTATATGTCTCTTTATTCTTTAAGTATGTTTTCTATGGACAGCAAGCTGGGTTTTGCTTTTTTCTCCTATACAACAATTTCTGCCTTTTGAATTAGGGTGTTCCTCCCACTGACATGTATTAAAGTTAACTTTAATGTAATTTTGGATATGGGTTAAATCTTCTGCCTTGCTGTTTGTTTTCTATTTGTTCTGTCTGTCCTTTTTCCTTTTCAGGATTGTTTGATCTCTACTAGTGGCTTATTGGCTATGCCTCTATTTAAAACGTTTTTTTTATAGTGGCTGCTTTAGGATTTACAATGGTTTTTTAATGCATCACAGGTTACCTTTAAGTAATATCTTATTGCTTCACATATATTGTCAGAACCATGCACGATGTATTTACATGTCTCCTCTCCTGTTCTTTGTGTCCTGTTGTCATACATTTTACTTTTCTGTATGAATTTAACTCCACAATACATGATCATTGTTTTAAACAGTTTTAAAATAAATAAAAAAGTAAGAAAGTTCTTGAATATTTGCTGATGTATTTATTGTTTCTAGCACTCTCCACTCTTTTCTGTAGATCCAAGGTATCATCTAGTATGTTTTTCCTTCTGCCAGAAGAGATTCCTTTTGTATTCCTTATTACAGCGCAGGTCTGTTTATCAACAAATTCACTCAGCTTTTATTTTCTGAAGTAATTTATTTTTCCATGATGTTTGCAAGGTATTTGCTGGAAATAGAATTCTGGTTTAATAGTTTTCCAAGGGATTTAAGGATGTCCCACTGCCTTTTGGTTTGCACTGTACTGTAGTATAAAGAGGTCTGTATTTATTCTTATTTTCTCGTATATATGTAAGGTGTCATTTTCCTCTGGTCACTTAAAAATTTTTTTTTCTTTCTCTTGATTTCCAAGTACCTGGTGTTCTGCATGTGTGTGTGCGCGTGCATGCGCGTGCGTGCGTGTGTGTGTTGCGCGTGTGCATGTGTGTGTGTGCGCGGGCGCGCGCACTACTTAGGGTTTGTTGAGCTCCTTAAACTTGGGTACATTAGAACTTGCAGGTATGCTAGATCACTTGACATTTTAGATGGGTCACTGAGACCTTTCAACTTCAACCTCTGTCTCAGCTTAATGATATTTCCGTATCTGCTTGGGCTCTTCCTGCCTATGATGCTCGGATTTGAGAATTTCCTCCTGGTGGAAAGGCAGGCAACAGTTGTAGGCTTAGTTGGAATCATAACAGATTTCCTTTATCAACCCTGATTCGGCGCCGCCAGTCCTTCTCTTCAGTGGCTTGTCTTCCGAACAGAGGGCAAACATTTACAACTTCCTCGATCTGCTCTGCAGACCTGAACATCGACTAGAGGCATTGTTTGTGGAAAGGTGACTTAGGGGTTGGAGGGCTGAAGGTACGGTGGAATAGGAGAATATGGACATGACCAATTAAACAGCGTGGTGGTGTTGCCAGGGCACATTCTACATAGCACAATAGCAAAGGATATTAGATAAGGTCAGTTCAATCAAAACAGAAAACGAGCCAGTTAACTTAATCAAAAACTCTTCTGCAGAGGTAAAATAATACAATTTGCAAATAAAAACAAGAGGCAGAAACAGAAAAAGGCAAGCAAGCAAAACAAAGCCAAGGATGTGTTAGAGCAAAGAAGCTGCCAAAGGATTATTGGAGTCTCAAAAATTATGTATTTTTAAGAGTATTAAATATTTTTGAAAAAATTTCTATTTCCTCTCTTAGAGTCTCTGTAGAAGTTGATACTGTAGCAATACTATGAA